TGGTCTGAATGATGGTAAGTTATTGTAAATACTATTTGATTTCCTAAGTACATGGTAAGCATGTATGCGTTGGACTACTATCAAAAAACGACCTCATCCTAAACTATTGGTCCGATTTCAAATCTTGCCATACACAGCGAAAAGATTTTTTTCGTTACATGAATGCTTATCACAATGCACGAGTAATTTTGACTCTCCATTTCTTTCTTTTTCATTTCTAGTTTGACTCACATTTCCTTATTTTCCCAACGCTTTTGTGACCTTTTAGGTAATGATCTCCTGATTTTGAACATTGATGTTGCATTAGCAGTTAAATGTGGGAAGTTCTTATTCTAGGTATTGAAGACCTTTTTCGACAAAGCGCTAATTTCTATGGTGTCCGTCTATCGGCAGAAATGACAAAGAAAATCGAATTTATCATTTGTCAATGCAAACCCAGCACACAAGACAAACACTTCGAGTGGTTTTCAAATTCGGTACGCATATTTATGATGTTTTATAGAACAAAATTGTGGTATTCGTCGTTTCAAGTTCACGTGTTTAGTTTGCAGTTTCCATAATTATGTTCAGTTCTTCCGTGGACCCGATGGATTAAGTCTTCGAGCGGAAGCAATCCGTTATGTCCTCTACTTCTTCAAGCCTGATATGCCATCCCACGTGCTCGACGCTCGTAGCCATTTTCTTTACTATTTGCTAACAACTTTTCCTCCAAATGTAAGTTATAATTGGTTTTCCGACTAATTGACACTTTTCGGCTTACGCAGATCCTAATTTTAATTGTCCAACTCATTAGTTCCGTTGTGTCATGTTAAGTAATGAGCTCGCTTTTTTCTCAAGTCCTTTGAAAGACTCAGTATTTTTTGCTGAAATACAACGTAATTGGACCAAGTGGAAATCCTTTCAATGAGGAAATATTGGCGTGAAGAAGATTGTCTCATGGCTGACATCATTTTAATATTTACAATTTTCATTTTCAGACTGATGTTGAACAACAGTGGTGCAAGACCGTCGTATGGTTTGACTGGCTTACGTATGACGCTCATACTTTAGTACAGTTTATCGAGCCCGTTATGGGTATGATACGGCAAGCACTCGCAAATTTGCCATCCAAAGCTAGTAGTTCCCCATTGATGGAGTATTGTTGCAAGTAGATTTCTCCGATTCCAATTTTCCTATGCTTCATACAAGTGATTTTCCTGTGTTTACTAACTTTATTCAGAGAGGTATGCGTTTATTTACCTCCGAATGAACTGGCTTAGGAAGTGTTGCGGAATGATGTATGCAGCTGTACATGTAGTATTATGGAGGGGTTTGTTACTGTGTTTATTTTATTCCGCATTTTCTATGCTTTTGCCCGCTGCGGCCGTTGACAATTAACTGTTTCGAGAGGGTTTCAGAAGTATGGTGTCTGGAAATGTACTTTGACCTTTTTTTCCGTCAGTTATTTATGCGTTTCTGGAGACGTTACTGCCATGTATATTCTTTGACTCACTCTTGAGGTCTTTTATCTTTGTAAATTACATATAATGAGGTTACTTCCAAAGTCTATAGTCCTAACATCGAATTTAGAAACCTCGTGGGCATATTGGAAAACCCTCGCATCGACCGCACTGTCAGGGAGCTAGTACGTGAAACATTCGCTGAGTATTTCGCACGTAATACCAGCCTTCCTTCAACCGGTAGCGGCCTCCTTGCAAGCTCTGCTTCTCAGCGTACCAGCTGCCGGTACAGCCTCAGTTGGCAACTCACGTGCGGCGGATAGGTGGTCCTTTACGTTAGTGAGTTGATGATGCAATACAAAATGCAAGTGAGATGAATTTGCAAGATTTCAGGCCGTTGACCGCGACGGCTTCCAATTCAAATCACGCCCCGGTTGTTAAGAGAAATTCCGATTGAAGGACAGAGAAAAGAACAAGGAGAACGACAGAGACGACAAGGAAAGGGGAAAGTTAAGCAAAACGCCAAGCCCACCAAATGGCACTTTGATAACGTCAAAATTAGATGAGGTAAGGCTGTGCCTTATGACAGCTCCGCTAATGTTCCATGCGTGACTATATAAGACGCGCACGCAATTTCAGATTATTGATTGATCATTATATGTTTATTTTGGCTGTTTCAGGCAAGAAAAGGAACGAGAAAAAGAGATTGAGGAGTTGATGGAACAACTACGAGACGATTTCAAGGCTACCATGATGACCATGCGGTATGTTTTGGCTTTTTGAAACGTAACTCCCATGCCACTTTTGAATGATGACAATTTTTGTTAAAGTGCGTTTTTTGCCGTCAAGTTACAAGTTCAGTCCAGATCCTGGAATTTCTCACTAATCATGCTGTTTTTTAGAGAGTGCTTTCGAGAAACTGAGGATGATAGCGAACGAGGCGAAGCTGTACAAAAATTGCTTCAAAAACTTTTGGAAAATGTGAGAATCACCTTTCATCTGTAATCATCTTTCACTTTGCTACATACCGCAGTCGTTTTCTTATCCAATTTCTTTCTTGTGAGCTTTAGTAGTACTTCCGTATGTGTGACCTATTAAATGGTTATTTTTTAGGAAGATTCTATTGATGAGGAACAACTCGAGATAGTGGCGCATTGTGTCCAATTGGTAATGGGTAGTCCAGTGGAGGGCAGTCGCCGATCGATACTTCCAGATCCTGTAACAGAAGATTCTCTTGCAGATTCATTCGCCCATCCTTTATTTATTATCTTCCGAAATCTTTGGTGAGCTACTCGTGTTGGTTGAAATTTCGACGAAAGTATTTTGAATATTTTTCGAATTTTATCGTGGCACCTTAATTTCTAGTTATACGCCGGATACGGACACAACTACACGATCACTTATGGTAAATATGATCGCAACAATGCGGGATTACGACAACACGGTTACCTATCTTATGCTGTTCTTCATAAAGGTAACTAGTATTTTTCAAGAAGGTTACCCATATGTTGTTGGCAATATGAGAACCTGCGAACTCACCGAAGTTGTAGTCCAAAGGTCTTTTTCGTGATCAATGAGAATTTTTAATTATGCTTGGGCTTCTTTTGAAGGTTCATGCCAAGTTTTCTGGTTCTGTTTTGAATTTTTTTGATAGAATATTGCGACGATTAAAACAGTGTTGTTGCTGTTGTTATTGTTTATTCAAAGAGTTCTCTGCAGGCAAATGACGGTCTGAGCAGTGACTGTATCTCTTGTTATCGAGATGTGGCACGAGCTCGAGATGAAGAAATTGAAACGTTGATATCGGCTGATTTGCAGGTTAGTTTACGTTGGCGTTAATTATGGTTGCTACAAACAGATTCCCTTTCGGATGAAAACGGTAACTGATAGTGCTGCAAAGCTCATCGAAGCGGTCATTTCCCCTATGTAATAGATTCCACTATGCGAATAGTTAATCTCGCGCTAGCGGTAACAGGTATCTTTTTACTGCGCGTTGCGTGCGTGTCTCACTTTGTGGCAGCAAATGCATTAGGTGCTTATTGATGAGTTGTTTTTGAAAATTCTGATTACAGCAATGCGCTGTAGATGACGACCGATTATTTGCTTTTCTGGTTCCATATGTGTTTCAAAAGCTCGATGTTGAAGCGGGTGCCAGTGCCTCGGTAAGTGTGTC